CAAAAACAAGAATTTTTAAAAAGGTTAATTTGATACTGATATATATATATATATATATTAAATTTTATAATATTTTTAAATTTTAATTTTATTCAAAAATAAAAACATTATCGCGTTCTCAAAATCACATAAAACCATATTATATCGATATAAGAAAGAATAAAACAAAACATTGAAAACGAGATGTGTCTTGATGCATTGCACGAGTACCCTTCTAGAGTCTTCGGATAAGGATCATTTCCATCTTTTTAAGTTTATTTTGCTATTGTCTCCTTTTCTATTAAAACAGAAAATCTTTTTCGTAAAAATAACCCCTTGTCATCGGCAAATCCTCCGATCATCATCTCCGATGTAGTTTCTGATCATCATCTCTAATGAACTTTCTGATGATTGCCTTCGATGAAACTCCAAACCCAAACCCCAAATGCAAGGAAAAAACCACAGTAGCACAGGTTTGGTGATCTCTAGAAACACAAATCATCGGAGTTGTAAATAATACAACTATCATCCGATTCAATTCTTAGAAAGAAATTCTTATCACTTGCCTTATAATATTCATATTCGCTAAGAGCAACATTAATCGGATATAGATTAGCATCTGAACTTTAGGAAGTTCAACTTTTTCACCATCGGATCCATGGCTTAAATAAAATGTGAGATCAAATTTTAGATTTGATTATTCTCCATCCGAATTGGAGAATTCGATTCACATATCTTTCTGGTCATTCCATCTTCATTTTAAACAACCCACATCTTATTCTAAGTTATTTAGAATGCGGTGTTCTTATTTCATAATCACTCTATAGTTGAATCCAGTCTATAACTTATATTTTGAAATATGAAAGAATTTTTCTTTGTAAAAATCTTGTAATTGTCTGTATTAATCCAAGAATGAAAAATCTTCAACAAAATCGAAGACTAGTTGAAGTAAAATCAATATCGTTACTAAAGCGGATTGGTTTGTCATCTAGGCAAGAGAAGATAAATACAAGATATAGTCAAATAGTATTCTAACAAGAGTTCATGGTGCTCACCACCTAAGGCATGGACGATTTGTTGCCAAATCTATGCTTATCACACATCTCATGAGTACTTGTTCATCGTCTCTCATTGTGGATATATGTGAGCTTAACGAATTCTATGCCTAAAATCAACTGTGTTTAATGAATAAGATGAATGATATTTCATCAAGATCTGCCCTGAGAAGCATCAACTTCATTATTATCAATATTTGAGGTTAATGATTATAGATGAATTTGAAAGGATTTCAGAACTGTTTGATTGGTTTTGGTATTTGATTGGACTAGTCAGGGTTTGAGTATATGCAATCGTTAGTTTTTCTACAATAGACTAAACCATTGAGTGCTTTCACTCATTTCTTTTGACCTGATCAATTAGAGGTCTTGAAGGTTTGCAATCGATGTTCTGGAAGTTCTGTAATAATTAGATTTTGGGTGTTCTCAGTCTTTCTTCTAACTTGATCAATTAAAGGTTTGAAAGTCTACAATCATTGCTCTAAACTTATGGTTGTGATCTAGAGTTTTGAGTGCTTTTAATCACTCTTCTGGCTGGGAATTTTGGATCTGATTCTGGTTATTCAATCTGCTGAAAGTTTTAAGGAAATCGGCTTATCTTTTATGCTTGACCTGCTGTTCTTGAAGCCATGTTCTTAATGATGATTCTTTTCTCCAGTTCACAATGTCAAAGGTGTTTGCTTTGATTATTCAAGTTGATGTGAATACGCCATTAGATCAAGTTCTTAAGCTGAATGCCTATTCAACTCGTGGCTCAATGAAATATTCATTGTCATAAGATGATTGCACTGGTTTGTCATGAAATTCACAAATTTATCTATCCCATATTTGGATGAATTAGCTACTTGTGGGGTCAAGTGGTAATTATGAGGTTCAAAGTTTGTGTTGAGTTTTCTGCAGTTAAAGCTGCATTTTGTGCAATCGTTGGTGCTACATTCACATTGGATCTTATCTTAAAGTTGAAACTGAAGGATAAAAGCTGTATTCAGGGGGGAGCTTGAAGACTTCATCAATACCAGACAAACCAAAGTTTTCTTAAAGAAAGTAGGGGGAGAAGATTTGAAGGCTTCAGAGATGATGCTTGCTTTATAAAACTTTGGGGGAGATTGTTAGGACCAAAATTGTCCTAAATAATCTGAAAGTTTTATTAAAGCAATTTGGGGTAAGGTTGGAAGATTCAGATATCTGAACTGCTAAATCGCCTAAGTCTGGAAGAGCGACCAAAGCCTCTGGTTCCAAAGACCAGTGCTTCTGGATACTAAGTGTTTAGGACTAGAGCCCCTCTGGTTGAACTATGCTCTAAAAGAATATCTTTAGATCTCTGGAATCAAAGACTTCAACGCTCTAAGTGTCAAATATGAAGATGAAGTCTGAAGATGATTTAGCCAAGAGGACTTAGTCATAAAATTGCCTGGAACCAAGAGCTCGGATACAAGGCTCAGACACAGAGGGTATGAAGACCTCTTGCGCATATAGCCAAGTACTCGGATATAGAGCTCAACTCCAGAGACAGAGCCTCTGCATAGTACATGTAGAGCCTCTAGGTCTCTTGCTTAGCCCGTCTGTGTGAAGGTTCCACGACTCATCTTACAAGCGTTCCAGTCTCTATCCGATATGTATACAGAAACAGTTATTGCAATCATACACGTGGAGGTAAGAGATTGGTAGACGCGTTGATTTTGTAAAGATGCTATTTTGAGAAGATGCCTTTTCTGAAAACGCATAGGAAATGATAGTTCCTCTAAGACAATCAAAAAATGAATTTACATGAGAGTCGATTAGGTCATTGAGAGAGTTTTGTAATTTTCATTTCCATTTAATAAAGAAAATGGTTGGTTTCTATTCATCATCTTCTATAATCTCTCGTTTATCATTGTTTTAACCTTGATTTGTTGTTGATCTAGGGTCCAACAGTAATCCCTAGCACTTTAGTTGGATCTAAATCTTTTATCTATTTCACAAAAATCTTACTTTCCCCATCTTCTAGAAATGCCATTCTTATCACAGTTTGCTCCCATTTTGCAACTTGTTCATATTGTTTCACCATAGTAGTAGATTTCATTACACTTACAGGCTCTGATTATTGTTCTACAACTGGTGGGTCAACTGTTTGTTTAATCTGATGCACTCTGGATGATGGTTCATGCATGGTTACAACATCACCAAAGCTTAACAAAATCTTCCATTGAGAAAGATATTAGATCTTCTATCTCATATTTTATTCTCAACACAACATGTTCTGATTCACCTACATCAGACTCATCAGCATCAGAATCAATATATATAATATCATTAAACATCGTTAATTCATCTTCCCTAACTACATCCTCAGGGTTTTCAACTCTTGGATCTGTTTCATCAACCAACACAATTTGAACCATGTGTCTTTCTCTTCC